GAGAAGTCTTGACCTGCGACTCTCGGCTTCCGGGTTTCCTTTTTTTTTGTATACTGTAATTTAATGCCAAAGAGCACTCACCCTCAACAGCCATTGAAAGCCGTCCAAGGTGCACATAAATGTGAAGAAATTGACAACGTATGTTTAAGTGGAAGAGGATATCGACTTCAAAGGGGTTCAAAGCTCTTGGTTTTTGCAGCTTCACAGCTGCTGCTAGCCTGCTTTACTGAGGTGGAACTCCACCTTTTGGCAAGGGTCTACATGTCCCTGCTACTGCGAAAGCAATGTGTGAAAAGAGTCTCTGCACAAGGTTGGAACCCATCATACACAAAGATCGACCAAGCTTTCGAGTTCGCTGCTAGCTTGTCTTGTCTCCCACCGGTCCTCGTCTGAATGTGCAAAGTTGCACTTCAGACCCAAGGCACCTAAGGCTCTGTAAGAGCTGTGGGAAGATTGGAGGGAGAGGTATTGGTGGCTTCAAGCCTCCTACCATGGGAGTCAGAATATCATTTCAAATTAAATGAGGACTTGCAAGTTCTTGCGATCGGTTCATGGCGATCGTTGGCATCGCTCATTTGCACGTTCTTTGGAGGTCAGGCCTAACCAGCTGGCTACACTTAACTATGCCGAGCGTCAGTGACCCATCTGAGAAAAGCGGCAAAGCTTTGTCTTGTAAAAGGTGCCTCAGTGCATAAGTATATTGTTTTAGACACGCATAGAAATAGAAAGTATAGGGCCAGACTCAAGAAATAGGTGTCCCTCCTTCGCAGCTAGCTCTGTCAGCTGAGTAAAACTCTGAGGCTAATAAAGGACATCTTCAGAGAGACTGCTTCTTGTGTCAGTGAGGCTGTGAGAAGCTCATGTCGATTAAATAATTATGAACGTGAATGCTTAGTAACAGGATCCGATCAATCTACAGGGGGAGACTGCAGATTTATAAGGATTTGAGTAACACAGCGGGGTAGTCGGCCAGTCCAGTGATTGTGGTGACTCTCTGGTTCGAACGCAAATCTAGCATGACCTCTTTAGCTGAAGAATCGTTGGGACACAATTCTAGTGAGGGCGGGGAACAATGCAAACGCCCCCATCTGAGCAAAAGTTTAGATGAGTTTGTCTCAAATGAGGCAATGAGGCACGAATACCGATATACTCTTGTCTGCCATTCTTGTGGTCCTCTACCCCTTCGCATGGGTGGACGAGTAGGTGAGTAGGTCAGGACATCCATTTAGAATCTGCCAATCAGCCCAGATACGGCACTCGTTTCTGCCGGATCGAGCCCAAATCAGGCAGCTAAGAAGTGGAAGAATGCATGCAATTGCGCCTAGTAGCGTCCTTGCTCCTAGTAGTAAG